ACAAAATTAAAGTGAAATGTTCCCTTTATTTTTTTTTTTAGCAGTATATATATATATATATATATATATATATATATATATATATATATATATATATATATATATATATATATATATATATATATGTGAGTGTGTATTTGTTCTGAACTGATTCATGTGCATCACTGACAGGTTGAAAAACAAAGAGATATCGTCATGATAATCTTTAAGGGAAAATGTACTGCTTATCTAACCTTGATCTGTGTAAATCTGTTTTCTTTTTTGGTCCAGCAGGCTGGCGCTGGGTCTGCAAAGTCACACAGTTGTTGGCACTGTTGCTTTGCAACAAGAATATCCTGGGTTCAAATCCTGACCTGGGGTCTTTCTGCATGGAGTTTACAGGATCTGCCCATGTGTGGGATTTCTCTAGGTACTCTGGCTTCCTGCCACAGTCCAATAACGTGACTGTTATGTCAATTTAAAAAAAAAAAATCTCTTTGGTCTTGTGCGTTTTATGCTTCTCTTTAGATAAATTCTTTTTTGTTTTTAAAAGCGTATTTCCTGCTCCGTTTTTTCTCCTCTCATTTCTAGTATTTCCATTGTTTCCCCCCCCCCCCACCCATGTGCTCTGTCTTTATTTATTATCCAACTTTCTTGAGTCTGGTTGGAATACTATTAATAAATAAATAAATAAAAAAAATTAGCTAAGACTGTTTGGAGTCACATATCATCATAGACAATGAATCTAAGGACAATTAATTTATATCAAAGGGTTGTAAAGATCTTCAAAGTGAGTGCAAACTAATGCATAATCTGCATGAAGCATTCTTTTTTTCTGAGAGCTCCTTTTCTTACCCAGAGTCGTCAGATATGCAACGACCAAAACTGTGGTCAAACTGTCGTTAAATACAAAATCAGAACCTTTAAAAAGACACTCTCACGCGGACTAAGCAAGGTGAACATCTACTTTTTCCTTCCCGAGAATATTATCCCTTAAATACACAGAAGTAAAACTGCTGGGACATTTTAGTTGCACGTCATTTCACATAAGTCTTCCAGATCCCACAAACAGAAACAAACACAACGGGCTTCCTGTTAGGAAGCGACGAGGCTTGCTCAGGATTTGTCATCCTGGTAGTAAAATTCTTCTCTAAGTGCCTTAAACCACAGTGACGCTCGACTTCTTCAGACTGCACCAAGCAAAGTCAGTCATTAAAATGGGGATTGTGACTCTCTCAGCTCATGCGAAAAGTTAAAACATTCCAATAATATACTTATATATAGTGTCTAAAATCATTTTGCGTTGTAAGTATTCAATTTCCCGATTAACTACATACACTGTATGGCTTTTATTTTATGTAGTCTGTATTGTTTGAAAAACACAGAGTGCTAACCAATAAAGTTTCCGACACATCTACTGACAAATACTGTGTTGACCAACCACTGGGGTTTTTAGTTTTGCTTTCATAAATAGACAAATGGTTTTATATAGGTTTAGTGGCCGACAGGTACCTTCTGTTTTGTAAAAAGTTTGAACACCTCTGAGTTATTGTGACTGGGCATCCCCCTCTAGTTTTGCACAACGTAAACACAGGCCAAGCGTGACTAATGCTGAAGTTGGAAAGCTCTCTGAAGGACAAAGCAGACTTGTGGAGGACCGCACCTATGGGGATTCTGACTGATTTCCTTCGCACTTCCAGTAATGTCAAATTAAAAAAGCAGTCTGTTTGAGATTCTGCCTCAAATGCGTCTAAAGCTGTGCCTCCATTTTTATCACAGAAAAAATGGAAACTCAACTTCTGATACTTGTTATATTATATTATATTATATTGTATCAGAAGCTTATCATCATCTGAGTCTTGTCAACTTGTTTATCGTTTGTTAGTATTTTGTTTTCAACTGCATCTACATCAATTAATACCAAGTACATTTTTTCTCCTTCTTAATGCTTGGAATAAGTTACAGAATTATTATTATTGTTTTTTTGTGGAATAGGTATTATTGACAAAATAAAAGCAAGAGCCACCACTGTACCCACCCAGACCACAAGGTGGCTGCTGCAGATATTTAGACTGAATCTTTATTCTCACCCTCAAATTGCAAGCAGAAAAGAAAACAACACGTAAAATTATAGACTAAGGTTAAAAGGTTAACTTTCTAACTGGTTTCTCTCAACATGTTCAGATCAGAGCACACAAACTAACCACCGACGCTAAAATCTCACAATGACAAACGTCCACAACTGTGAAAGTCAGACGGATTTTCTTTTTGCTTCGGCGTGCAAAGGATCTCCCAGGAAGAGAGTGTCAGATTCCTGGCATCCCTGGCGTCAATAAAACATCAGGAAACCAGGTGAGGTCAGAGCTGAGGTCAGGCAGTTGACCTCAAGGTCGCCGAGCTGAATGCTTTACTGGCAGGCGCCGTGTTTGCATTGCTCCAAGTCTGAGATTGAGAGTCGCCTCCCTCGGCCAAGAACCGCACGGTCCACATGTGAATCAGCTGTTTGTGTTCGTCTGGAAGAATTTCATCTTACTCATGCAAACACTGACACGCTGCCGTGTGGAATGCCTTTTCCTGCCGTCAGGCCCGGCTCGGCGGTGGTGTCGGGTTGCGGTAGGTGTTCCCGGGGTTGCGACTCCGGCATATCTGTGTTTGTTTTAAGTCACAGCCCCTCCCTCTGAGGAGATGACAGTCCAGAACAGCCAGAGGGGGGTGAAACCTGAGATAGGCAGAGCTTAGTAGTAAACAACAACTCCTTTATGAGGCAGAGGCGGCCGCCTGCTGCATTCAAAGATCTGAGGGAGGGAGAGGGACACAAAGACCCCACCACCCACCAAAACACACACACACACACACACACACACACACACACGCACACACACACACACACACATCAGCCCTGGGGGATGCATTCAGGGCAGTCTGTGGGTGTGGGGGACCTGACACTGTTAGTTTAATCTCACTGTTTGTTAAATTAAAGTCTGACTCCTCCGAACAGACTTAAACCCTGGGCTCATTCTGTCTGAACTGAAAACAAACCAACTCGAAGGAATATCAACACTGTGTTAGGCTTTTATTTGTTAGTTTTGGGTTCGATCATAGATCTGACGCACCTCGCCGAGTTTTGCCTAAAGTACAGCGCCAACGCAGTCAGTCACCCATCGTCTTTTTTCGTTTCACTTGCAACGAGTCAGAGTTTGTTACGATCATCGACAGTTTTTTTTTAGGCCTACTATAGGTCTTTCGCTGTTTTAGAGGAAAGTTTTGTTGAGTTTTGTTTGTTATCTCACTCAATTTCTAATCTTTGTTCCTTTTTCTGTAATGGAGCTTATGAGAAACGCCAAAGGTAACACAGTTTCACAGGCAGAAACTATTAACTGGTAACTCGCTGTAAATGATCAACTGTCTCAGGTCCTGGGTTGGTTCTGTGTTGTTCTTCCTTTTCCTTCCCTAATTTCTTGAAGGCAAAGATTTCAGACACTGTTTGTCTGCTAGAGACAGATTTGTAGGCCAGACACTTTTTCTTTTGTCCTCCATTTGTTCATTTGACTTTTTATACTTTAAAACATGTTGTTTTGGTCGGACACAGGGCCGGAACTCAAAAAAAAAAAAAATGCTTAAAAACAAACAACTTATGAAATACTGTGCTTAGAGAAGACTTAATTAGAAGGTTTCATCCGAAGTATATAAATTCAAACTCTTTACCTCATGCGTAGCATAGCATAATGGTGACAGTATTGGGATGCCAATTTCCCCGTTGCATAGACAACTAAAAAGGAATTTATCAAAATTAGATTTTCTTTCCCAGAATTAAACAAATGAAAGTGTTCAATACTTGCTTAGAATTAAGACCAGTTTTAAGTCTAAACAACTTAAAATTGTGAGTTAGCAAACAAGTAGAATAATTAGAACATTTGTTTCTGAAACTGGCTTGGTACTAGAAGGGAAAATTAAATTTCTTAAGGATTACCATGAATCTTGTTGTCGGATAATCATTTTTTCCACAGCGTGGTCATTCAGAAAGACATTTCTCCAATGTATACAAACGCGTATTTTAATAGAGTTACTTATTTATATAAATGAGAGTTTATATAAATGAAACCCTGACCTGTAAACAGTGAGGTACTGGAGTGAAATTAAATGGAAAACTGTGCAAAGTCCAAAGAAAACCATCTGAAGACCTTTGGACGGTCTGGCAGCTTGGGGAGCAATTTACGAATAAAGTTAAAGTGCTTTAAAAGTATTCCTGGGTAAATTTAGTCATAACGGGAACCTTTCAATGACAATTGGTACTGCACCTGAAATATGAGAACTTGTCAAAGTCCAAAGAATATTTCTGAAAGACACTAAGAAACTTTGATTGGCAATTTTACCAATCAGTGGGAAAATTGATTGGTAAAATCAATTTTACCATTGAAATACATGTTATGAATACCTAACATGTATGAATTTCAAACGTCTTTCTGCACTAATAAAACTAACAGAGTAGTATGGCGGTGGCGGTGTCATGTTGAGAGATGTTTTTTTTCTTTAGTAGTGTAACAAACAAGCAAACACATTCCTGCTGAAACTAGCATTTAATTGGCCAAAATTAAGGGTCAATGTCCAAAGGAACAGTTTTAAAAGGATTTTCTGAAACCCATAGAGCAACTGATGAAGACCGCTTTAGCAGATCACAGAAAACTTGTCACCTTTACTTTCTCCATACCTAAATCTAAGCAGGTCTAAAGCATGCAGTCTGTCAGCACAAATACACAAAATATAAGTCGTGGTATTATCGTTTAAAGTGCTTCTAAAACTTCCCAAATTAACTCGTCCAAAGCTGCTGTCAGCAGCCTTCTTTGAGCTTCATCCTATCAGTTTGGTCGTCAGCCGAGCAGAACAGACCCTGTTTTTATCTGCCGCCCTCCTCCTCTTTCTCCTCCTTCTCCTCCTCCTCCTCCAGCTCAGCTGAACAGAGTTTGGGCGCTGCACTCTTTTCTTTTGTTGTTGAACGCAGCCCTTACAGTCCGCTCCCTCCCTCCCTCTCTTTCCTTTTTTTTCCACCCATCCTCCCATCGCTCACTCACTCACTCCGTTTCATCCAGGGTGACGCCAGTCCCTCTCACCCCGCCCCGTTCAACTCAGTCCGCTGCGTTCATTTCATTCCTGCTCCCATTCCGCGCATATTTCGCATCCTTGGAGAGACGCTGCGCATTTTACGCACTCAGCGCGCCCCGATCCTTCATCAAGGCGAAGCCGAGGGCGGACTCCGGAGTTGGTCGAGCGCTTCCCGGTTCCGCGGCGGCTCCGATCCGTTGGGAAAGTGTGGGAATTAAAGGAGAAAAGCGGCGTTTGGATCGAGGTAAGTTCCCGAGGAGGAGTCCCCCCCTCAACCCTCCCACCTTCCTCTCCCTCCACTTCATCCCCTCCACCACCTCCTCCTCTTCAGCAAGCGCGTCTCAAATCCCCCGGACGTTTCGCGTGTTTCTAAAAAAAAAAAAAAAAAAAAAAAAAAAAAAATAAAAAAATAGAGCAGTTTGAGCCAAATGGGAAGAAACATCTCAACATGTGGATGCTAAACAAGTCTAACAAGCTGATTATTCCTGAACCGCGTAGAGCTTCACAGCGGCTGTCGCTTCCACTCCAGTTTTATTATTTCCCCTTTTTCCCTTTTCGACACCGAGACCCACCTCCAAAAAAAAAAAAAAAATTAAATAAAAAATCTCGCTCTTTTGACACTTTCTTTTTTTTTTTTTTCCTTTTCCCACCTCTTCTGGTACGTTTCATACGGTAGAGCTGAGCCTGTGGGTGTCCGTAAATGGAGCAGCGTGTTGGAGAAGAGAAGCTTTCCGCTCGCAGAGCTGGGAGGCAGCTTAACAAAGCTGGGAGTGAATGGGGGACTTGTTGCATCGGCGGGGTTTTCTCTCTCCCTACACAGCCAGGCAGGCAGGCAGGCCCCAGTCAGGGAAACAGGCCACAGGCTGATAACAGCTAGTGTTTACCCAGTGGACACAGCACATCATCTGCTTCACGAAAACACACCAACATACAGGCTTTTGAAATCAGAGAGGGAAAGAAACCCCTCAGATTTTTATTTTTTTTGTTCATGCTGACACAGCTTCACTCTGCTGTGTAACATGTTGCTGATCCATATTTTTAATTTTTTTTTGTCTTGTTTTCCTTTCTGTCATTATCAGCGTTGGTGGAGACTTTTCTCAGAACATCTTTTAAAGCCCTCTTCACTCTTGTGTTTTAAATATTGATTAAAGGGCTGCTCTCAGCCCCTTTTATAGCCTGAGATCTGTGGCAGCGCAGGCCAAACCACAATGTAATTATTGGAGGAAAATTACAGCCCTTAAGGATGAAACAGGGCAGATGCACTTCTTCTGGAACAGTAAGCCGTTTGTCAGATGTTTGGGAGGTGTGTGTGTGTGTGTGTGTGTGTGTGTGTGTGTGTGTGTGTGTGTATGTGTGGAATAAAAAAAAAGGAAGAAAAGTCAGAGAAGAAGAGTTGGTGCTTGTTTGTTTTTTTTGTGGTGTTAACTTAGTGGTAATGAGGAGGTGTAAGCTGGGTAAACAGACTAAATCCATGTTGTTTTGAAATGCTGAAAAAGGTGCAGACTTATTGAACTGCGATATTTCAGTCACAGAAATGAATTATGCAAGTTGTTTTTGTAAATAAAAAAAAGAGAAAGGATAATAATTTTCTGTCTGATACTGATTTAAAACAAAATATTGATGATGTGATCTGACAGTTTTATGCTTGATAAGTTCTGATGCGCAATAGGAAAACATCAAACTGTGCAGAGGTCGTCACCAATCGATGCCGATTTCCAGACTTCTTTGAGGTCATGCCTTACAATTTTGAACTGTCCCAATTTTCTTTCTCTTCTATGATTTAGAAATGTTTTCAAGTGCCTCGATCGATATAGTTTTCAACCCGACAGTACTGGGCTACATATGAACGTAAAAATACTCGCATTATCTGAACTATTTTTCCTTGATCCGCTTTTATATTGGTCATTGATTAAAGGTCAAACACTGGAAAGTCACTTTAATTTTATACTTTTGCCTTAAAAATGCATCAAAGCTGAGAACTGCTGCCATTTTCTGCTCAGTGAAAGCATCATCCCGAAGCCCGTCCACTTTGAGTACAACAATAAACTTCATTAACATTTGCTTTTGTTCATAACTGGAGATAATCTTGATTCCTTCAGTTTCTGTTGGATTCAGATCAAAAACTCTGAAACATGTTTTCATTTTTATTAAGTGAGTTGCTTCTGAAACTTTTCAAATGAACTCTGAACCATCAGAATGTGATACCTATGTTGTAGCACGGTGGTGGTATGTCATGCTTCGTGATGCTCTTCCATCACAGCATGGAAGTTTAGAGGTAAATATTTTTGAGCTGAACTCAGAAATCTGTACAGATCGGGAAAAAGTCTGATTGATGTGTGTGTGTGGAAGAAATGTACGGGTGTAAGTTGAGAGAAGTGATTTGTGTGGCAAAATATTTTTTTTTAATTTCAGTTAAAAATATCAAATTGATCAGTTTTTAAACTGCAGTATTTTTGTTTTAGGAAGAAAAAAAAATAGGGCTTATTTGCGACAATAAATACTCAAATTATCCAGAGATGGACATGAAACAATTTTTCTGTCAGATAGTAAATTCCAGTTTTCTGGAATCAGAGCGTTGCCTATTCTAATTCCAATTTTGATATAGTCCATTATTAAAATGGGGATTATGAAGGAAAAAGCCTCCACTGGATTCCTTGACACAAGTAATATTTTTGAATATTACTTGTGTCAAGAAATTAAAATATAATTTTGGCTACAGATTTATTTATTTTTGTTTAAAAGAAAGTGAGTATTGTGGGAGGGCATTTAGTTCCTAGACTGTTTTTTTTTTGTTGCTTTTTTTAAATTGAGATGCACCAGTCCACCAACATGACATTGGAATTTGCCAATGGATGTGATAGGTGATGGACTGGTCATATACTTTAAAAGAAAAAAGATGTTTTTTCTTCTAATTTATTAAGTGAAGCAACTACAATATGCCATAAATTCGGTTAAATTCAGTTAATAGATGCACCAACCAACAGCATGTGTCACATAACCCCCCCCCAAAAAAAACAATCAGACAAAGGTTTAGAACATATGCTTTGATGAATAAATGAAGTAATTCATTATTATCTCCATCAAGAAACTTTTGACACATATTTCTAAATCTGTTCAAGTTTTCGACTCTTCTTGGTTGGTGGCATTTCTTGAAGAAGAAAAAAAAATACTCACAGGTTTTGTTTCTTTTCTTTTTTTTTTTGTCAATAAATGAAAAGCTGTGACTATCCTGAAAGTGTAACAGATAAAGCAGAAGGCGTTTGTGTGTCTGTCATTGTGTTTAAGCCTGCTTTGTCAGTCACTCTGGGCAAACAGTCTCCACTTTCCTCCCCCACCGCCCCTCTCTCCCCCCCCCTCAGTGCCTCTCCTTCTCCTCTCCAGTTCGTTGACATCTGTTTTGAGAGCTCCATGCACCTGTAGAGATCGAGGAAGTGTGTGTGTATGTGTGTGTGTGTGTGTGTGTGTGTGTGTGTATGTTGAGGACAGAGAAAGAGAGGGAGAGAGGGAAAGAGGGAGGGAGGTGCAAAATGCAAATCCGTGGATTTGTTCTGGGTCCGAGCAACGCAGACCGACTGACTAACGACCATTTGGTGTGTGTGTGTGGTGTGTGTGCGTGCGTGTACACTTGTGTGTTTGCCTCTTGCCGTCCAGGCCCCTATTGTTGCAGCAGCAGCAGCAACAGGCGTCGCTGGCCGAGGACGCACCATATGTTCTCTGTGTGCTTTAGTCACAAACCGCTCACGTTTATGTGTGTGTTCATCTCTTCCACCAATGCTGCTGCAATATGGTGGAGTTTGGAGCCGACGGGCGGCTCACAGCCGCCTCCTCCTCCTCCTCCTTGTTGTCTCATCTGTCGTCTCATTTCTCGGCACAAAATCCGGCACACAGATTTTTTTTTTCTTATGGGCCGGGATTAAGGAGGGAAATCTTCCCGGCACGAAATGAAGTCTTGTGACGTTGCGCTTTGTTTTAATTCTGATTATCTTTTTTTTATTTTTCTCAGCAGAATGTTTTGAGGGCGTTGCATCTAGTCAATGGGATGAATCAACAGGTGATACTCTAAATCCCGTCGGCAGCCAATTAGAGATTTTCCCTTTTTATCCTTGCTTTACCCTCTGCCCTTAAAGCGCTCCTCAGATTTTAACACTCGGCAGGAGACACCAGGATAAATTTATTCCGGCGTATCAAAAAAAAAAACAAAAAAAAACTGAAAGCAGGGTGTTAAGGTGGGGCGAGAATCTGAGTTCCAGTGTAATGAAATTTGGGGAGCGGAGCCGGTTTATTAGAGCAACAATGCTGAGTGTTTTTGTGTTTGGGGGCGAAGCAGTTAGGTGGGGTAAGGGAGGTTGAAGCAGGGGAGGGGGCAGGCTTTGTTTAGAGGACTGGGGGAACAATGGGCATCCTCCTGGGTGGGGTGTGGGAGTGTGCGGGGATGGGTGGGGGGGTAGGATTTGGAGGGGTGCTGCTGGTTTCTGGCTGCAGGAGGCCAGTAGATCCAGTGCTGGCTTGTCTGACCAGCTGGACGCCCTCCTCACTTTCACGTTCATAGTACTGCAGAGCAGGTTCATAAAAAAGTTTTAAAGAGTTTGGGTTTCAAACTGTTCTCTCTATCTGTTTAAGTCTTTTTAATAAACCACGACAGGAAGTACCGGAGTGGTCACACTTTTCTGTGGTCGGTGTAGCACCTCCCCCACCTGTTGCTGCAGACTGCCAGCTGGTTGAAAGAAGGCTCCAACATGTTATGTGCTGCTGTATATATCAAAAATGATAATAAAAAAAAAAAAAAAAATGACTTCTTAGTTTGATGCCTTGAAATCTGGACTCTGTGTCTTTAAGTGGCTCCTACTCTTTCTGAGTAGGAGCCACTACTCGAGAGTTTGACTGAGGAGTAGTTCGTAAGATAAGCTCAGCAGACCGGCAGCTCCGCCAGGTATTTGCTAATCGCTGATGACGCTAGTCTGAAGGAGCTGAGTTGGTGAGTCGGGGCTTGTCGACTGCCTGAGCTAATCTATAGCAAGCAAAACTACACAAAGCCATATGACATTCTGAATTAGCACTTGAAAACTATACTGCTAATTGTAACGTGCTTAATCTTGAATATTTTTAGGTAGGTATTTAAAAAGTGACAAAAACCAAAGCCTTACCAAAGAAAGTTTAGTTCTGCCATTCTTGGTGTTAAAATCTCTTTCAATCAAATGCCATAAACTTCCTGGAGTTTTCCTCCCACACCTGTTGCTGCACACT